AACCTCAGTGGAGACAAGTCAAAGCTTAGAGTAAGTAGACACACTTATTTTTCGTTTTTAAAATAACCAATATTTGTCCTTTTTTACAGATTAGTATATTGCTCAAATTTTATAAACAGTTACAAGAGCATGGCGCAGACGAGTTGCTCAAACGAGAGTATGGGACTCATCTTATTGCACCAGAGAGCGGTTAGATTTCCTGTTTTTAATCGTTTTTCAGCTTCGGGACGAATGTAATTAATCGCTTGAAATTATTTATCACTGTTATAGGTTATAACGTATCAGTTCTCATAGATCTAGAGAAATTACCAGAGAATTGGGAGTTGTTAGTGAGGAAAGTTGCCCTGTTGAAGAGGCATTGCTTTGCCAGTGTCTTCGAGAAATACTTTGACTTCCAGGAAGAATACTGTGATTCTCCAGGCAGGCCAGTACAGAAGAGAGCTGTAATCCAATATCGAGATGAAGAAACAATGTAAGAAATACATCTCTATGATGTTGCGACTCAATTGTTATTTCTATTATTATTGACAATGATAAATGAAAAATTGATATGATTAATACAAATAAGCGAAGCGAAAGCCTCATTCGATCAAAGCGAATTTTGGTATCCAATAATATTTTTGTGTTTTAAAATTTTATAATTTATTATTTATTTTATTATTATTAACTCTGATTAATATACATTTTTATCAAGGTACGTGGAGGCTAAGAGCGACAGGGTCACGGTAGTGTTCAGTACAATATTCAAGGACGAGGACGACATGGTTATTGGCAAACTGTTTCTTCAAGAACTGAAAGAAGGCAGGCGCGCGAGCCATACCGCTCCGCAAGTTTTGTTCAACCATCGTGAGCCACCGTTGGAGTTGCAAGATTCCGAGGCAGCGGTTGGAGATTGCATTGGCTACATCACGTTCGGTGAAGAAAGTTTAAAGTTTATATTTATACCGTTTGCACTTGATAAATTGCGTCAACGCGATGTTACAGTAAATCTTATTTTATTTATTTGTACCAAGAAAAATGAAAAAAAACTTCTATTAGAAAACTTTCAGATTTAAATTATATGTTTAATATTAAAGATATAAAAAGTTTTATATGCCACTTTATTAGCAAATAAATTCTTTAAAATTTTAAGGAATTGAAGATTATTTGAGAGAAATGTTATGAATATTACTGATACACATTTGTGTAACATTTTCTATTGTCTAAATATTTCAAGTTGAACATACGACAGATTTATATACGACAGATGTAATTTTACTTTCAAACTCATCGCTTTATTTTATATTTTTACAGTATTGTTTCCACGTCATACCAATCGAGAGGCTCGTGACAACACCATCGACCTGATACATATGTTTAGGAATTATTTGCACTATCATATTAAGTGCAGTAAAGTTTACATTCACTCGAGAATGCGTACCAAGACAACAGATTTTCTCAAGGTGTTAAATAGAGCGCGATCCCAATCCAAAAACACCGAGAAGAAGACTATCACGTAAGTTTTTACTCACAAAACATTACAGAAACTATGACAAAAAAATAAAAAGTTAATCTTAATTAATTCAAATACACAAATAATTTAATAATATATATATAATAATTACTGTTGAGATAATTATTTAAAATCTTTTATCATAATTATATATATAATTACTTATTTAGTTGATTATATATTTTTTTATATTAATTATTAAGTTACTTAAAAATATTCAAGAAATTACCAGATAAAATAATTGAAATGAAGATTTCTTTAATATTTTTGTAAATTTCTCATTGCGTTATTACAATTTCCTCATACTAGCCTTGTTTTTAGATCTTTTAAATCAATTGCAAAATTCTTATAATTTAATACAATATTCTATTATCAAATTTCTTGTATAATTTACTTAATCTACTCGTAATTTTTTTCAGGGGACGAACATTCATCAGGAAAGAATGAACGTGCCGTAGGAGCGAAAGTATTAACACTTTTCAAGAGAAGAGGGCAAAGGATTATTGCGCGGCTAGTGTGGTCTGGAACGTCTTAAGAACGAGATTTCCTGCGAAGATATCCTTCGATTCGTGCGTTATCGACGAGCTAAGTGCTTTGAGTTTCAACCTTTCTCGAACAGTGCCCAATATTTCGGAAAGACGTAGTTAAAAGCCGCGTTAAACGAATAAGGAAGAAAATGGAAAAGGAGAATCGGAAATTTGTGCCGGATCACACGATTATGTCTCGATTATCCAGAAAGGGATATTCGAAGACGCCGGAGTTGCATCTGTGTACTAATGGTTGACAGTTACTGCTACTGCGAAGAATATCGCTCGTTGCGAAACGTTTTACCGATTTTTACAGTGATTTAAGGTTCAAATACGGTGCCGCTTCAAGAAATTCGAATTCGGTTACATATTACACTGGTTGTTACTTCAAACAATTTATTATACGTTACGACATTCTGAACTATGTCTGTTTTGGACGAATACATCGAATACAGATTAGCATTATGATGATATCTCTTAGATGAAATCACAAAATGTTCTTTAAAAAAACGTTGAAATATGTTTAAACTCTCAATCTATTAAGTGACTATATTTTGTCGCGAAATTTTTAGAGCAACATTTGAATCGCCAGAAGTAACTGAAATTTAAAAAATCAATGAAGGAAAGATAGATTAACAATTTCACATTGCATTTTGACTCGATAAGCGGATTGTCGAGCGGATAGGTATTGTTAAATAATAATAGCGCAATTGTTCCCTTTTTCGATATTTTTATCGTCTACATAATGACTATACATCCGATTATTGTGAGAGATAATAAAACGACATTAACAATCTACAAAGTATACTCCCACACCTGTAGTATTGATCTGTAATCAGTAAGTGGCGTAAAATAGGGAGTGTCGAAACAGGTCGTCCAATTAAGCCACCACACCCAACTCTTCGGTACAGCCATGTATTTTTCCTGCAGTCAGAAGTATTTTGCCAAGGATTAGACGTGCGTCAGGCAATACGGCTGACGAAACAACGTTCATATCACTAATTAATTAAAATCGAAAATTACAGAAGATTCTATCTGCTTGGATAAGATCTGACATTGCGAACAGGAGGATCATATCAGATCCGAGATATCTAGAGTCTCGTTTGAGATACCTTCGGGAATTTAAACGTTCATTACAGCGCGATGGAGGAGACGACGCTGTCGACGTTCTCGTCCGTGTCTTCCAGCTCGCCGAATGAAGCCTCTACGAAGGATATGGAGGAAATGGAAGTGGTGCAATGGCTGGAAAACGAGGCATTACCGGGCTTTCGCATCTGGCAGCTTGCCGGCATCGTTCTCTCCGTTCTGCTAAGCATCGTCGTCGGGTTGTGCTGTTGCATTCGCTTCCGCGTGCCCAGAACGAAGCAGGAGATCGAGGCGGATTATATTCGCAAGAAAATCACCAAGAGTTTTCGGAACGAGCTCTCGAAGATCAGCAACACGGAGATGGATGAGATGGATCTGCAGAAAGGTAACGACGCAACTACTGCTTCGGAGATTGATAGCTACGAAGACTCTGTGTGATTTAGTTAATCAAGAGGAAAGGAAGAAAGGCAATAAATATGACAGAATAAATATCGTAAAATTCACTAAATAAAGAAAAACAAAAAAGATAGAGACTTACTGCAGAAAAAAGCTTGCTTGTTTGATTCGTATTCTAGGGATTCCTAGAGAAGATAAGAGAGAAGGTATTTATTTTATAATAAGCTCTCTTTTGCATCAGGATAAGTGTACTCCGTAACTTGGCTCATGTACGCTACCTTTCTTTTTCATCTTGATGTAACTTCTCAGAAGATGTTTTAGAATACTGGAAGCTTAACTCGCTCTTCGCATCGCAGCTCTGGATAGAATCCGAAACGAATACGAGAGGGACACGTCCGCGATAGCGAAGGAGCGCACGGAAATGGAGTGCAGCGAAATGGAGCGCAGCGCCCAGCAGGGCTTTCGATCCAGATTTAACGCCGTGTTCAGTGGGATGCGTGTGCGTTTCAATCAACGCGAGCACACGGAATTGAACGCCACGATCTAACGACAGTGGATCGCCTTCTGATGTCCTGTGTGAAGAGGTGAAAACGAACCTCTAAAAAATATCTCATAATTTTCTCGTCGCACAAATTTGGGGATATCTAATGAAACAAAACAAAGTGAGAAATATATGGCTGCATTTAGCAGATAAAGCAGATTTACAATAGTTGTATAAATTCTTTAGTGTAATCAGTTTTGTCCTTAATTCCTCATTGGATCTAAATGTATAAATCAAACGTATTAAAAAACTTTACAACAGAGTTGCAAAGCTGCTTTCTCTGCTAAACATAGCCTATATATTTCTCTCTTCGTGTATAAATTGAAAGGAAGATAAAAATTATATATATATAAATCATTCTTTTTTAAATAGTTATATGTATGTTAGAGCATAAAGAAAAATTTAAATTGTTGAGAAAGTTAAGAACTTCGAAGAGATAAAGTCAATGTCAATTTACGTAAGAAATAAGGGCGAGCAATAAATTGCGTGACACTTTCATTGACTAAATATAATCTTTATTTCATAGATATATTTTACACAAAAATTTATTTACTTTAGCATGCAACAGTGATCTATTAGCAACGAATAGTAATGCTTCTGAGAGTAACACTCCACGATGTGTTACAGCATATTCCTTTTTTTTCTCTTTCTATTCTGTCGACATCGCTATCGATTAAAATTCTTTATATTGATTAATTATTTGTACTCTCTCGTTAACCGCGTTATCTTATTATCGCACATCGATTGATCTTATTCATTTATGTAATAGAAGTCGTTGAATCTAATGATTAATGACAAGGGGGACGAGAAAACTGTTATTAATATAAAATATATTATAGAAAATAACAAAGAGTCAAATTCATAAAAAAGGATTGTAAAGTATAACGTTTTAAGAAAATAGTTAAATAAGATATCACATTACTTCGACTATTCTCGTTTCGATCATAAATGTAAATTGGCGAGTGTGCGACGTAACTCGAGAAATGATTAATTATTTCAACATGATCTTTAAAATAAAATAGAAGTAAGAAAAATAGAACAAGGAATTTCACGATTGTTCGAACGACTCTGCATGCGTATGAGGAGCTCTTAAATAAATCAAGAAAGTAGGAAAAAAGGAAACTCAATAAAAATAAAGGATACAGAAGATGCATGTTTACGAAAATAATTTTATTAAAATCGGAAAACATACAGGAGACGAAATTGTTGCTCTACGAAGAATCTTCGTTGCAGCAACAGTTACGTGTCACTCTGTCGTACGAATCCGTAAAAAAAAAGGAAAAGAAAGAATAAGATAAGGAACCATAATCGTCGATTAAAAGAACTATAGCGAGAAACGAGTCCATCGATAGCCAATCTAATCTGCAATAGTCGGGTCGACTCATAAGGAAAATAAATTTTCTGTGCGCAGCTCTTCTCGTTTAAAAAATGAGGATGTTCGCTACGCTGACTAATGTTAAACGAAAAGAAGAGAAAGAGGTAAAAAAAAAGTCGTGCGTTGATATCATTCCACCATTCGTCGCCTGACAATTACTAAGGAATGCTTTCCATTTGATGCAACAAGTTGATACGAGGGTCGTTTCATCTTTGTGCCAAGAAAGATAAAATGATGCCTGTGTCATTAAATGGAAAGTACTCAAGATCTCGCTTCGCGATGCACGGTCTCTCGACTAAACAAGACGGCTCGTACCGTTCCTGACCACGAGGATGATCGTTCCTCGCCCTTCACTCGCGTGACTCTCACGCGACGTTGATGATGATACAATGTAACAAAATAGACTAATGTCTTTTTTTCATCTTCCAGCGTGTCCCGATTTCTCTCAAAACGGAGAATTCGGAAATCAGTCGTCGAGACATCCAACTATTTCTTCTCTCTGTTATATTTTAATCGTAATGTAACGTAAAGCTTTCTCGACACGTTCTTCTTTTTTTATGCATATATTCTCGGCTGTATATCTCGGCAATAATAATTGCCCATAATAATGCTCGCCTATGATTAATGAAATTCGCCAAAGAAAACTCCATTTAATCAGGGGGATATATTATATCAGATTGTTAAAGCTAATCTAATGTGCTCCTTGTTTTCTGTTTCTCTTGGTTTTTATTTCTTATCTTTTTCTCTCTTCGCGACTTTTTAATCAACAATTTCTTGTCTCTTTCAGAGTTAATCAATTTTTATCTCGGACGACAAAAAACGAAGAAACAGGAGATAAAAGATAAAAAGCACGGATCAGAATGCAAAGAGCACGTTGTAGATTAGTTTTTAATACTTAGATTTTATGTCTCTTTTGAATCCTTACATTCTAGAATCTTCGAGAATGCTCGATTCTATCTTAGATCTCGCATCCTCACGAAATAGCCTGGATCCTTATGCTCTAACAACGTTGAAGTGTCTCCTTAAATTTTAAGAATCTTTGAATTCTTACGTTCTAGGATCTTTGCGTACTTAGATTCTAGGGTCTTTGGATCATTAGGTGTTAGATTCTAGGAACTGTGGATCCTTAGGTTCTACGGTCTTTAGATTCTTGGATTAGATTCTTACAGAGAATTTTTGCGTCTCACTTAGGTACTCTAGGATCTTGGAATACTTCTATATTTTCGAGACGAGAAGTAAGAAAAAAAAAGAAAGAACAAGTAGATACAAAATACTTGTATCATTAAGCACGACTGCTTGGTCTGAAGTGGCACAGAATTTGGATTCCAGAATGTTTGGATATGTGCTAGATATCTCTTAGAGCAAAGACTATGTGAACTGAATACGACGTTTTTCCCGGAGCGGATTTTCGAAAAAAAAAAGAAAAGAAAAAAAAGTTAAAAGCGCGTCGTATGAGAAGGAACTTTAATCGACTAGAGGTTCCGACGACGCGTCAAAAATGCCGTGTGCATGTAATAAACACCGTACATTTTTTTCTTCGACGAGTTGAAAGAACTAGGAGAGTTGTTATAAAAGTTACAACGTTTCCTGTAGAAAGTCAGTTTGGTTCCTTCGATCTTAAATTTCACTTATTGTAATCTCGGACTGTTAAGTCCTGGATCTTTGGATCTTGTAACAGTCACATCTTCGCATTATGTTAAAATTTGCAAATGTGTGTTGGAGAATATTTTGCAGAACCAAACCTCGTGACTACGCGCGGAAATTCCTCAGAGGACTATATCGCGAATACGCATGTAATGAGTTTATATTAACGAGGTATGCATCCTTTCGACAATACAGGATTTGCGAAATAACGATGGGATTCCTCTAATTGATGAAGACTGGCCGGAAGTAAGATACATAGAAATAGAGAGAAAGAGAGAGAAATACATATGTATATAAGCGAAGAGAGAAAGAGAGCTCGCTACGAGGTAAGAGAGGTGTGTCTCCTCATAAAACAGGTCGGGGTGGCGTCGCAACGCACAACGTCGACAGCGACGACGATGGGCGTCTATGCGTGCCTTCACGAGATCTTGTTTCGCCACCACGAGAACTTCATCTTCGGGCTGAGATATTGGAAGCTGATGACCGAGTGCGGGATCAAGGCGAGGATCGGTAGGAAGCTGCCGCAGCTGCGGCTCTTCGGCTCTTCATCGCTCTCTACCATCGTTGTTGCCGTCGTCTTGCTGGTGGTGGTGACGGTGGTGGTGGTCGTCGTGGTGGTCGCCGCCGGCGTCGAGTACGGATAGGGCGTCGACATGGGATTGCATGTGATGTGGATGTCCTCGGAATTCCACTTGTTCTCGCATCTTACGTCGACGTCTCTGTCCGCGAGGCTCTTCCTCTTTTGCTTCTTTTCCGCAGCGATGCTCATGTACCGCACGACGCCGTTCCTCTCAGTAGTGCCATCGCCGCCGACGTCGATCTCGCTTTTGAGAGACAAGCTCTTAAGGGATGTCTTACGGTATACCTTTGATCGTGATATCTTCGTCGTCAGTTGCGGCAACGATGCCGAGCGAACCGTGGAGTCTACGCCAATCGCACTCTTCGGGGTCATGCTGAAAACGTCACGGCCCCGAAGAGCGGATGACTGCGGGGAGATGGAGTGCTCTCTGTTCTCGCTCGTCGGGATCGTCATCGCGCCGTCGCGATAGCGATCACGGGGAGGAAAGCAGGGAGAAACGGGAGTAGTGTGCGCTTCATTGGTCCCGGGTTGCGAGACGAATGAAGCGTCCTTGAACCCTCAGCTCGGGAAACGCGAGAAGAAGGCGCAAGTCAAATCGTAGTTTGGGAAGCGACAGTATTGCACGTCGGTGCGCAGCCAATCGCCGGAGCGATTCAGATAATCGGATCGCTTCTCGAGTTCGCGCGGACAATTAGCCGCCGCGGACTGCTTGTTAGCGAAGATCGTCACGACGAACTTGCCCGGCTTGAAGGTGTTCAGCACGCGACGAATTATTTCGTCGTACGATGTCTCCGAGACGTTGCATTCGAACGACACGTACGAGAACTCGGGCTCCGGCGTGATGTGGATCGTCATGTAGCTGCCCTGAAAACAAATGCAGAAGATAGCACCGCGATGCATCGTGGATAATTAAGACTCTCCGCGTTACTGTGGCGATATCGGATTACAACATTAGATATGAGGAATGATATTATTCCTCTGGTTACAAGTAGGGATCAGGAGAGTCTTAACTGTATCTAAAATATCCTTTACTTGAATTTATATATTAGAGGAGAAAGTGGTATTATGGTCCTTGTAGATATAATGACTTTAGAGTACATCTCCGATATTAGATGAATTCTAGTGGTTATTTATGAATTATTTGATTAGTAGCCGTTACGCAACAACACTAATACATAACATTATTTTCAAGCATTTCGAAACGTTTTCCACATTTTAGCGTTTAATTCTACGTAAATCTGTTATTTGTTATTTAATATTTTATTTGGTTGTACATACATATTTTTCGACTTATGGAAGGATAAACAATAGCATGGCATTTTGCCGACATAATTCGTTAAATGTGCTGATAATACGATCTATTTTTTCAATATTTTCACATCGAAGTTATTCGATGAGTCCTTTGTAGCTCTACTGTTAATCTATTGTTTATATTATATGTTTAATAGATTTTTAATACTGAAGAAATATGTACGTATATACTGGGCGTCCCGTAAAAACTCGAACAACGCTTAAGGGGAAATTCCTGAGATCATTTTGACGAAAATTCTAATACCAAAATGTTGAGGCCATAATAACTTTTGAATTATAATTGGTTAAAGATAGTGTGTAATTCGAAAACTATTATAATCTCGATATTTTCGTATTAGGACTTTCATCTTAGAATGTTCAAAAGAATCCAAAAATAATAATAGGCTATAAAAGTAACATGGTTTTTTTACCTATAAGCATTTAAAGTTAGCTTATAATTAAAAAAATTATTGTAGTTCAACATTTTGGTATTAGAATTTTCTTCTCAAAATGATCTCAGGAATCTCCTCTTAAGCGTTGTTCGGGTTTTTATGGGACACCCGTATATTATATTTGTATATAATATTTTCTACAATATTTTATTGTATATAATTTTTCGTAATTTTGTGACCAAGTACTGTTTTTTTAAAGAATTCATTTTTTTTTAAAGGACCAATTTTTTAAAAATCTGTTTTAGAAGTTACATTACTTTGTTCCTCTTCAACTTATTATGCAATGTCCTCCGAGTTTTACAAATAACGTTCTAAATAGTAATATTTCATAACTTTGAGTAGAATCGATTGAACAATATTTTAACGAATGATTAAGTTCTCAAATATTAGATACTAAAATATTAAATATTGAATAACGAAGATAAAAGTGAGAGTACCACCTTCTCCTATATTACTTTACGAACTGTTCAACTTTTTCAATCTTACGACTAAATGATTTGTTTAAAATGATTTTCAACGCTTGCAACTTACATTCTTAGATATCCCGTTCATAGAATATCCGCATGGTTCGAACAAGAAATCATCTATAATCATAGTGGGAATGAGCTTATCAATTCCCGACTTGACTGTCGCCTCATCGGCGGAAGAGCAGACGTCTCTGGTGAAGATCGACATCACGTCCGGATCTAGATGCGTCATGAGTATTTCCAGAGTTTGATCCGGTTCCGGTGGGTCCTGCAGCGACTTATCGCGAATCAGGGTGTAGAGATACCAGCAGTCCGTCTCGGGCGAGCCCATGCAGTAAGCTTCGCCATCTGAAATAAGAAATGGAGTTACAGTGATGGGCCCAATGGAGTTTCCGAATTCTCAAGATCACACAATGTAAAGAATAACCGACTTAAATTTGAAGGGTCTAATCACTCTTTATCCGCCTGTTTCCAGTTTACTTTCCTTCTATGTAATAGAATGAAAATCAATTTGAGAAGCTAATAATTACCAGAGAAGAGAGAATCTAGCAGAGCGACTTCTTCCTCGAATGTTTGATGCGGCGATATCTGGATTTCCGGTTTCTTGTAATTCTTTCGGGAGTAAAAGACGTTCTGAAAATGCAACATAAATAAGAATCATGTGTACATACATATTATATTTACCCATTCTATTCTATATATATATTTTATCGATAATAAAACGGAAATAATAATAAATTAATAATATGACTCAATAAGAATAAATCAATAAATAAAAGGAAGGGCTACGAGCCAGTTAAAAATAAAAGAACATTTAATATCTATACAACAACAAACGTTTCCACTCCGATCGAGTCATTCTCCATGTTAAGACAAACTCAAAAAATTTTTATAATGTAACATAAATTGTCGATTCTTGCATCAAAATTACAGAATAACATAAGTTAAAATTTAAAAAAATTGTAGATACATATCGGAAGTTCCTGTATCTTATCTGTCTTAAATTTGTATGGTCCATGTAGTTAAAATCACTTAATGTGATTGATATACTAGTAATACTTTCACTTTCTTCATTAAAAGGTTTATTTGTACACCAAAAAAGACTATAAAAAGAAAATAATAATAGTTAGTGTAAAATGATAATAAGGATAGTAACGGATAATAACGGATAGAAAATAATAAGAAATAATTGAAAAATAACAATCTCAGCAAAATATCAATACGCAAATTCGAAGATAGATTCTATAGACCGCTTATTTGCAATTTTTTTATCATTATCGCTAGCATTATTATTATAATTATTGACATCATCGTTATCATCATCTAATTCATAACATCAATCATTTCGAGAAATAAGACTTCTGCAATTATCGTAGTTTATCTCTCTTTCGGTGATAACTGGGCAATCGACATCTAGGACACGTGATAGATTCGATATCTTCGAGACAAGCAGGCAAGAATTATAGCGGGGAAATACATTTCGACCGAAAGTGGGCCGATTTAAGACCCATCTCACTCTAAAAAGTAATTGTGCCAATCTTGAAAAAGTGTGGCTCGATTTTCAATCCTTAAGAGTGAGATTTCAGAGTGATAATTCACTTTAAAAGTTTTAAAAATTGTATAGTCAAACCCAGTAAACACAATGTTATATGTAACGTACATGTAACATGAAATGTCAACTCACCAAGGTAACTGTAATATATAACACACTGTATAATATAACACATTAATATAACACAGTGTGTTATATTACCTTGTTGAGCTGACATTTCATGTTACATATACGTTACATGTAACACTGTGTTTACTGGGAAACATCCTTAGATCCGCGGTTCAAATCTCGCGCTCTCCGCCGCGACCTGAAGGTGGGGATGAATTGGACTGAAGTAAAATCGCGCGTTCGAATTTCAACCCCGACATTTACGCGATATCTCGGGCGATAGATAAAAACCGACCTGATTGCAAAGCAACGAAGGGTTGGGTGAAAGAAAGGAAGCTGCGACTGGATCTTTTCACCTGGCACCGCCCGGTCAGGAAGATTCGCGAAGCGCGGTAACGTCGAAAACGCGTTTCGGGCAGCGAGGGAGAGACGTGCAGGTATGTCGCGGCGAGATAGGTGAGATCAATAAACCAGGAGGTGGCAGCGAAACGCGTTTCGCGCGTGGCGGAGGGACACATATAGAGCCGCGTTTCTTATCCGCGCGCACTAGGTCAAGTTATATAGCTAAGCACTCCTGAGACCGAAGAACGTAGTGTCGAAGGAAAGGATCCCTTACTGCGCGGACCTGCTAACAAGCCCAATGTGCCCGATATAAGATAGACTTGCGACTGTTTTTTTTTATATTAGAGGAAATTTTAATTAACGAAAATTAATCTTTCGCGTGCAAAACCTTGACTCAAAATTAATAATAAATTTATTATATAAATATATGTATATATTTATTTATATTAAAATATTATATAAATATATATTATCTATTATCTATTTTTATTATTAATATATTTCAGACAACAGATTTATAAGGTCTTTTTAAAATTTCTAAAATTTTATTAAAATATAAAAATATATAACGCTGTGTTCATTTTAATTAATATATTTCTTTCATTAAAAAAGACCTTATAAATCTGCTGCTTCTAAAAATCCTACCTAAGCACGATATAATTATTTTATGCCGATAACAATTATTACATTTTATGACAATAATACAAGCCTTAGCTTACATAACTACGTGTCTCTTTTTTTTAAATGTTCTGGTCTGATATTTTCGAAAAAAAAAACATCTAGTCAATTATTATAGGAGAAGAGAAGTAAAATCTTTTTCCGTAATTATTTAATAATTTTTACTCTTGTTGTTTAAAACCTCTTCAGAATAACGTGACGTTAAATTGTGTCATAAATCTTTTATGTGCCCACGCTGTCGATCGTTGTCGTAATGTCCTTGTGATGACCTACCTCGACATCGTCGAAGCCAGTGTACTCCTCAACGAGCTCCAGAAGCGGCTCCAAGCACTGCAGAGGTGTGGTGGTACCGCAGGTCTTCAATATAAGTCTGCGTTTGGACACAAACATGCTGCTCTCGCTGCAGAAATGATAAACAATCAGTTGATTAGCTGTTTCACTGACGGCGATTTTTGTTAATCTTCAGCACATTCCAGACGATTCGTCCATAACTCAACTTATAATAAACAGTAATATCCGAAATGATATTTCGTAATACTTAATTACATTAAGCACATTTATCCGAGACGTTAATTCGTAAAAAAGCGTTAAGCAATTCTGAAAAAAATTCTGAAAAATTTTCTTTGCGAAGAAAAAGAGAAACAAAGATAAATAGCGATCAAGAATTAAAAAGATTAATCGATAATTCTACTTAACTTAATAGAAAGGCGAGTTTTTTATTTAAATTAAATTAAATTTAGAAAATTATTTATTGTTTTATATTAAAAACAATTTTAAAAAGAAATAGCAATCAAGGATTAAGAAGCTCAATCAATAATTTTATGTAATTTAATTATATATAAAAATGCGAGAAACTTCTTATTTAAATTAAATTAGATTAAATAATTATACCTAACTGTTTAATTCTTTAAACAATTTGTTTATAATCCGGCAAAAGTAAGAATTATTATTACGATATTTAAGGACTTGCAAGCCAATATTCTTCATGAATAGCTCGCAACATCAGAGATCTCAGTTATTTAAACGGAGATAAGAAGCGCGCATTTAAGATTACAAGGGAGTGACGCATATTTATCTCACTTTTTGTTTTCTTTCTGTTTTAATTACATCGCTCGTCTGCTAATTGTGATAGATAATTATGACAGTATATAATGTTCGCACTATAGCGAAGGACAGCAAAGAATGATAGTTATTAAAAGATATTTGCTTGGCTTCTGCTGATGTTGCTATTTCTGAACTGTGTTTCACTATTAGGCAGAAAGCGAACACACACTGCTCGTAGACAATTTGCATCAATCTACAAATATCCGCCAATGTACCCGAGAATGCACATGGTCCGCCGTTACATCGACGTTTGTCATGCAACCTACATATCGCCCGATTATTCATTCATTTAAAGATAAGTGTGCTTTTTCTTAATTACACTAACAACTTGATAAAAGCTTGAAAAAAAGATTTTATTTTTACCGAAATAACGACCATCGACCACGACTATTTCTCGTTCATGTTAATTCACAATCAGTACGAAAAGTAGATAAAATATACAATTTATACTCATTCATTAACGATTAAAAAATATTTCCATTTTTTATATTTTTCATTATAAAAATTATATAATATATAAATTTATATATTATAAATAAAACATTAATAATTTTATTAACAAAATCAATTTCATTTATTAGAAAGTTCCCGTCTCTCGATGTTCTTTACACATATTTTCCTTTTTTAATTTAAAAAGTTTATGAAATTATTTAGTTCAAAAAGTTGATTATTTCAAATTAAATATATATATATATAAAACTTAAATGTAAATGATTTATTAATAACATTTACATTTTTGTGTTTTTTCACATCCGCAACGAACGACCGAGAGAAAGCCGGAAAGCTTTCTATAAAAATTAATTTAAATATAGTTCGCCAAAGGTTATCAGCGATAGACATTGACCCTAAGATTCTCCGCCAAGACAACGAGAGTGATAATGAAGTCACAAGCTTCTTATGAGTGTCTAAATAAAAACGCGATAAACGTACACTGAAATCGATAAGACAATCGAGCATTACCTCGTAATGTTACATGGAGAGAATTTTCTTTTAAAATTTACCCTGAAAATATGGTAGTTGTAGTATAATACAAGATTTTTACCATGCACTTCAGTAAAATTAATCAAACTTATTTTATACTTTATTGTAGTTTTATCAATGAATGAGAGAGATTTACATTAAAATTCTTCGAAATACAGTGTTGTCCCATGACTATCATATTTTCAGGGTAAACTCTAAGAAAAAATTCTCTCCGTGTACGCGTACACGAAAAAAATTTCATTGGTTTTCCGGTAGAGAAAAGACAATGCATAATATCCATAATTGAATTTAAACAAAATGACGAAACATAAGTCTCTTCAAATTTAAAAAAATGTTGATATATTATTTATTTAATAGAAACAATCTGTTAGCAAAACTTATAAAAACTGCGAGGGCATTAGAAGAAAATAACAGTACTAGTATAGAAAAAATAGTACCGGTAGATAAAAATACAATGAAAGTAATCAAAATAAACATAAAGCAATAGTAATATTAGATAAATCAATGTATAGAGAACGCCAATAACCGGTCAAAGTTAGATGTTTCAAATAATACGATATATATTCTTTATTAAATAATATTTAGTAATATTAGAAATAATAGACAATAATTTATAAATCGTGATTTACTGCAAAAAATAAAATAGACTTTACAGATTTAAATTCATATAAACGGAAAAAAGTCGATGTCCTTATTTTCATAAAAACTAAATTGTATATTTCTTAATCAAAGGATTAATTTATTTGAAATATTTATTAAGATAAGCGGAAACTTAAAGCAATGAGTATCGCGAAGAAGTTTGGGATGTACATTTAAAGGAATTATTTCAAAAAAATAAAGAAACATGAGTCTCAATTGTAATTCCATTAGTCGTACGTAACTTTAAAAAAAAAAGTGTACACGAAGAGAAATCACAAGGGACTTATAACCATACGAATATAGTTAAGGGTTAATTCATAATACTATATTTTTTGCATATAACAGCGCGCGCGCGCGATCTCAAAATAAATACATTAATCAGTCAATATGTGAAATGCAACTATACGATTATTTCTAAGTAGATATGGTCAGATGAAATACATTATAAATTACACGAATATGATGGTATAGCTATATTAAGTCCTCGAAATAATTGCTAATTTTATAAATTAAAATATGTTCATGCCAGCTAAAGTATCTTTTTAATAAAATATTATGTATGTAGACATATATATGACTACTGTAGCTTTACGCGTTTCTAATATACAAGTATGATCAGTTTAGCCATACATATACTTCGAATAGACGCGCCCAACTTGATTTAAATAAATGACTCATACCTGTGATCGTGTTTTTGTCAACGCATTATGCACAAGTTGCAGCGTTATTTTGTGGGACATTTTCTGCATAATGTAATTTACATTTACATTGTATTTTTCATATTGTTTCATACTCTCTAAATCTGAATCAGTGGATAATCACTGATATCAGTGCCAAGATATGCTAGTAATCAGCGAATGAAATGTGAGATCCTTAACCTAGCTAATTTTTATTATGTAATCTACCTTGTTTTAGTGCATAAATTCAATGAATATGGTATTGGAATATTTATTGAATTTATGCACTAAAACAAGGTTAGTTAGATCACATAATAAAGATTATATGGTATGATTATTCTAACTATATTCTCTTGTAAGTGTTGATTATATAGTATGGCTCTATTCCAATCATACTTTCTGAAGGACTGTACCATATAGTAGGATTATACTGTACATGTCCAACTAGTAACACGTTACAATTACGCTATTGTGACAATTTATATATAAATTAAAAAAATTTAGGAATCTCAATCTAAACTGATAGATATGTTATCATTAAGAAAGTTAGGTTATCTATAATTGTATATATAGTGCAATATTAATACAGTATAGTAGTGGCTATATTAAGCATATAATATGACTGAATTAATCATATTTATGGCTAATACTTCTAATCTTATCTCTCCGTGTACACACTTATTTGACGAAAGTGGAAAGTCGTAGTTAAAATATGACATTTTTGCTTTTAAGTACTAGACAGTAGATATTTAAATATTAGACATAGAAAATAAATATTCGTATTCGAATTCATATTTGATTCTATTCAATTATTATATTTAAAATTTACTCGTTTTCTCTTTATGATTTTTAATACATGCGCCCAATTATTACACTTCCATTCAATGGATAAATACCGTAAATATGCATAAAGCAACTATAAATCAAATTTGAAACATCTCGTTTTTATACAGAAATTTTTCACAGAAATTTTATTTATATAATGTATATGTTATCTCTTATTTGTGTTTAAATCCTTCTGAGTCTATTTTACTTAATGTATATAATAATATATATAAAACATTTTTAACAAAATTTATTTTATTTATTAGATTGAAAAGTTTTTATCTCGAATATATGAATTGCGAATTCATTATGTATATTTTGAATCTTGTACAATCAGATGACATACGTTTGTCGTTTCTCTATTAAGATTTCTATTTTTAATAAAACACTTGGATTTCAAAACAAATACTTTCCCTCTAAAGATGCAAAGAACTTTAAGAAAGTTACTTACGAAATGGCCGTTTTATTATAAACAATGAATTATTACTCCGATCATTTTTGCAAAATTTCATTCTTGATATTCAATAGCAAATTTAAATTTTTCTCAATTTAATAGACACGAATGAAATAAATAAATAATTGTTTAACTAATAAATAATTAATATTATATAACAAGTTTATTTTTCAGGGGAATTTCATGGACGTTCGGCAAATTTTGCGAAAAACTGTCGTTATCTCCTCGTCATTAACTGGAAGATATCGATCGTCGGCAGAGTCGTAAAAGGAAAAAGAAGCAAGACAAAGCACTTAACGCAAGAAATGCCCCTCTTTGTTAGGGAAAATTCAGATTAGCAAGGAATTTCCAAACTAGCAAGATAAATGGACATAACCCAAATGCAGACAGATTAATTTGCGGAGAGCTATTTCTTGTTATTGGGAGGGTCATTTTTATCTTTTGGATCTCTAAAACAAAACCTTTTTACTTATTAAAGTTATTATACCTTTTATCTTTTGCTCCTTTTGCTTTCCCTTTAATTTCGTATTCTTTCTATTTTCCTTTATCTTTTACGCTTTTGTTATATCGAATTTTTTTCTCTACTATTCTTTTTCTATTATTACAGGATGATTTCTAAAATCGTTAGTAAACACGATTGGATCGTTTGTAACCTTTACATTTCTTTTCTTTGAAAAACTAGGAGCCTCAAGTAATTAAAAGTTATAACATTTATATATAATTTTTTAAAAATATGATATCTTACGAATACTTCCTAAAAACGTCAAAATATATATATAAGAACCATTTAATAATTTTTGTATATTTGTTGAAAATTAAACTGGAACACGAACAACCCATCGTGTGTAGAAGTTAAGAAGAAAAAGGTCTTACAGGATTATTCGACGCACGCCTGATGGATGTAAAAATGTTATTCGATACAGAAAAATGATTCTTAATGTACGTAAATCAAATTTCACTGAGTAAAATATCACTAAACATTTTCCAGATTTTCATAATTTTTATATTTTTTCTCTCAATTTTGATATCCTATAATTTTAAAATAAAACAGTTTAGGGCATACATTTATAGGACATTTATAAACATTTTCCAGATTTTCAAAATTTTTATATCTTTTCTCTCAATTTTGATATCCTATAATTTTAAAATAAAACAGTTTAGGGCATATATTTATAGAACATTTATAGGACAAGAGAAACGTGACATGTACAGAATACAGGATTCTTAAATAAATACAAAAGATTGAAAAAGATATTCTTTGACCTTTTCTTCCTAGAAGGTCAAAGAAAATCCTTTTCAATCTTTTGTATTTATTTAAGAATCCTGTATTCTGTACATGTCACGTTTCTCTTTTAGGAGAATATATAATACATATACGCAGAGTTATCACAAATTCGTCATTCTAAAATTCAATAACTTTTCCCTGAATTCCAGACAAAATTTCATGATATTCCCTGATGTTTTTATATGTTAATAATATTTTAAAATCTTTTGTATTTTCGTTCTGATTTGGAAATAATTATCAAATATTTTATTGAGAGAACAATTTAACACAGTAATGTAAACTACTATTGATGTTGTTTGGATTTAATTGTTAAGTTGATAATATTCCAAAACTGCGTAGATATAATATACGCACATTAAACTTCCTTAAAGCCAAAAATTTTAACTTTTCTTTTGCAAAATTTTACAAAATTCCCTGTTCTTTCCCGATTTGTTTGACCGTTTTCAATTTCCCTAACATTTTCCTGATTTCCAATTATGTGGCAATCCTGATACACGCGATTCCTTTCCAAGATAATAAATCACCACTACTAATCCGTAATAGAAAATACTAGAAGATTCGCTTGGTGCAATTGCTATCGACTCGGAATTAAGCGAATGACTCGCGCGGAGGGTTAAAACGCGCGAAAGTGTCACCTTGACCATATTTATTTATAGGGGCGG